CTATCAGTCGAGGGTGATCCAACGCCCAGCCTGATACGGCCTCCAGCAGGGACGGCAGACTATTGGCCGGTGCATTAGGCGGTCGGTACACCAGCCAAATCGCCAAACTCTCTTCGGCCCCCAGCAGCACGCCGACACATTCAATGCCCGCGATCTCCACGGTCGGGAGTGCCCTGAAGGAGTAAGCCTCCCGAACGAGAATAGCCACCCCTCCCCCCGCCCCCGATTCCATGATTGGTGAAGGACCGAGTAACCCAGGGAGGCCAGCTGTGTGAGAGCCAGAGTCTCACCTTCTCTCACCCAGGTCTCGGTCACACACACCAGGTCCACTTGATGGTCCGTCACATAATCCCTTAAGGTAGTGACTTTGTTGTTGATGGACCTGGCGTTACACAACACCAATGACCGAGGGGGGTCAATCCTAGCCCCACTGCCAGCCACCCTCGGGATGGGCCGTAGGCTGGAAGGACACCGAGCTCTCTTGTTTCTCAGTGGCCTTCCATTAACACTCTGCCTAGGCCCACCGCTAAACTTTTCCCCTCCCCAAGAGCACCGGAATCCGCTGTTCAGACATGCGGAGCGGACTGTAGCAGACCTTGTTGAAACTTATAATATGCAAAAATGCAGGTATTTATTAGGAAGACAGTTAAAAATGTATAAGGGCCCAGTGAAGGCCTCGTAAAAAAGGGGGCCTAGGCACCAGGGGCCCAAGGCACACGACCGGATGTGTTTCCGCCCCATTGGGGCCGGTCTTCAGAGGTCAAACAAACGTTGAGGTCCACGTAACTTGAATACATATGACAATAAGATAATCAGTACGGGAATACTGGACCAAGGAAAGGAAGGTGAAGCAGCAGGATCTAAAGACACAAGACAGAGATGTCCGCGAGGCCTCTAAAGAGGAGAGTGCCGAATGCACCGTTGTGGAGTTAGAACATCTTCCAATTTGGGTCCAAAAAGCATCTGTGTGGCTCTCTTAAGTCAGAGCTGGAGTGTCCTCAAGCAAATGGTAGTTTGTCTTTGTCTGGTGTCCACAGACCTTGCCGTTTAAACTTTTCTTGGCCCAGTATTCACTTATTGGCTATCTTAGTGTCATATGTATTATTGTCACGTGCACCTCCACATTCTTTGACCTCTGAAGAAGGCCCCAAGAGGGCGGGAACGCGTCAGGCCACGTGTGCCTTGGGCCCCTGGTGTCTAGGGCACCTTTACTTTTCTTACGAGGCCTTCGCTGGGCCCTTATACATTTTTAACTGTCTTTCTAATAAATACCTGTATTTCTGTATCTTATAAGTTTCAACTAGGTCTTTATTTTATTTATGATTTCAGTCTGTATCCGGCCTAGCCACAGGACTGGCTCAAGGTTTTTACTACTGGCCCCTTTATTAGACCTTTTCCCTGCTGATGCCAGTTCGGCCAGGTTCTGTGGCTGAGCAGGGGAGCCCGTGCCCTCTGGGGGGCCTGAGGGTGGCCTCCGTGGCCAAGGCACATCACCTGCGCCCACGCTCCTTTCGGCTGGAGAGGTGCCCCCCCCCCAATCCTAGGCCTTCCTTTCTGCCCTCCAAGCGTCTGTCCTGCCCCTGAGCTGCAGTTTCAGGCCAGGGCAGTGGGGGAGACACACAGGATGGCAGCCGGTGGGTCCGTGCCCAGTGGTTCCCCTCCCCTCCCCATGAGGCTCTGGGGATGGTCTGCAAAAAAGCCTTTATTGTTGCTGGGGGGCGCCCCCGGGGGTGGGGTGGGGCTCACTCTTCTATGTCGCTCTCGGCCAGGAGGGGCAGGGCCATGGAGTGCCTGTCCGGGTCTCCCAGGCTCGTGGTGGAGGCCCCCAGCCTGGGCCGCTGCCGCTTGAAGGGCCACTTCCCTGTGGGGGGAGAGAGAGAGAGAGAGATGGGAGAGGGGCTGTCGGGGGCTGCAGCTCTCCGGGGCCTCTGGCAGGGACCCTCTCCCGCCCCCGCGCAAGCCAGGAGGCTCCAGTCCGGCCCAGACGGGCGAGCCCCGAGTTCAAATCGCCTCCTCCTCAGGGCCAGAAGGGGCCCTGCCCCTGGGCACGTGAGGCTCCTCTCCCCATCGGGCTGGTTGAACTGGGACCAGGCTGGGGGTGGCGGGCCTTCCCCTTCCTGCGGAGCGGACTGTAGCAGCTCCAGCCAGGGCGAAGAGGAGAGGCTCTTTCCCGGGGGGGGGGAGGAGGAGGAAGAGGAGGCCAACCCCTCCCTGGGCCTGGTGGCTCCTCCTGACTCTGCCTGATTCTGTGGAATCTAGATGGGGGGGGCAGCGTGCCCCTTCCTTGAAAAGCCTTTGGCTGCCCTGCTTGGGCCTGTTCCCGGGGAGGGCGGGTGTGGGTTTGCTCGCAGGGAGTTGGCACAGCTTTGGGGTGAACCAGAGAGATAGATCACGGGATGGAAGCCAACGACCGACCGTGATGTATCGTGCCAAAACAGCACCAACTTGTAAATTCTTTTTTCCGGGGGTCATTTCGTAGAAAAAAGAGGTGCAGGAGCTCATTAGCATAACTCATTTGCATATGCCACACCCCCTGACCTCACCGGAAGTGTGTCAGAAGGCAACGCCCACCGCTGAGGCTCCACTGGACTGTTTTGGATTGCTAGCTGTTTTTTTTTGGGGGGGGGGAACGTGCAGATCTGTCCTTGCAGAGGAGGGAGAGCTTCTACCTGAATAAGACTTGGTGCCACTGGACTGTTTTGGGCCGGGGTAGCTTACCTGGCTGCTTCTTGCTCCAACTGAGGGCTGCTGGGAGCAGGGGGTGGGGCTTGTTGCATGTGCCTGCCCCCTGGGCTCTTTACTGCCGGAGCTCCGCTCCTGTGCACTCCTGCAGGAAATGACCTCGGGTTCTCCTCATTGCACAGTGGCCCCAGACCTATGTTGCACTTTCCAACCATGATTAGTGCCCATGGAGCAGGGCACAGGCAAAGGGGCATTGCGGCTGAGGGTGTCCTCCTCCTCCTCCTCCTGCAGGAAATGACCCCTGCTTTCTTCCGTGTTCAGTTTACTGGAAGCCATTCAAACGCCATCCACACCAACATTCACGTGACTAGGAGAGACGACCAGAGTGTTTGCCAAATATTTCAATGCTACCCATGTTGACAAAGGTTGTCGACATGAAACGAGACGGTCATATGCATGGTCCGTTGGTGTTGAGGGCGTTTGAATTGCTTCCAGTAAACTGAATCCTGGAAAAAGAATTTTCAAGTTGGTGAAGAACCCATGTATTTATTTATTTTGGCACGCTACATCACGGTCGTCGGCTTCCTTCCAACAGCTTTGGGGTGGGCTGGGAGCAGGGAAGGCCAGAATAGTTGGGCTGGAGCCCTCAGGGCAGAATCCGAGAATCACGGAGTCCGAAGGGGCCTCCGTGGTCCTCTAGTCCAACCCCCTGCACAGTGGAGGAAATACCTCCCCCCCCCCGTGGCTGCTGTTCCATACCCAGGAGATGGGGGCCCGGGGGGGGGGTTGGGGGGTGAGCCACAGAGCCCCTCTCCGGCTGTGCTGTCGGGACCAAGCAAGATGTCCTGCCCCTCCAGCCGGGGAAACAAACACCACGATGGGACCCGTGTCCCCTCTAAGCTGAGTGAGTGTGAGCCAGCTCACCGTTTTTTAGCCTCCAACTCACAGATCTTTGCCTCCGCCCAGGAAGGGGTGGGGCTCCAGCGCGAGCGAATCGGTGCAGCAGCCCAATCGCTCCCTCACAACTTCAATGCCGGGAGCCCACAAAGGAGAACTTTTGCACACAGGACTCCGCAGCTTAGAGGGAGCATTGGACGGGACGCTGCTGCTGCTGCTGCTGGGAGGTTGATTCCCGCACCAAGCAACCGAGGGCAGACAAGGCAGGCCCTGCCGGCAACAGCCAGCCTCTCCCCTTCCCGTCTGGGGGGCCTGAGGGTGGCCCTCTGCCTGCTCCCCCCCCTGTGGGGCGGGGTCTGGGCCGCCGCTCTGGCCTCTCCTTTCCCCTGGGAAGCCCGACCAGCAGCCTGCCTCTCTCTGTCGCCGGCAGGGCGCTCAGCCAGCCCTCGAGCCTCTGTGGCGAGCAAGGGACGTGTGCGTGTGCAGGGGGCAGGGCGTCGGGGAGGGCCTGCTGACCCCCCGGGATGTTGCGGCTCATCTCCAGGCGCCGAGAGGGTCTGCTCCAATGTTCCCTCTAAGCTGTGGAGTCCTGTGAGCAAAGATTCTACCTTGCGAGCATCATGGCATTAAAGTGGTGAGCAGCCAGTTTGGCTGCTGCCTACATTGGTTTGCTCTGGAGCCCTCCTTCCTGAGCTGAGACCAAAATCTGTGAGCCGGAGGCTAAAAAATGGTGAGCTAGCTCACACTCACTCAGCTTAGAGGGAACACTGGTCTGCTCCCCCCAGAGAAAACGGCCGCTTTGGCGGGTGGGCTCTGCAGCACGACGCCCTGCCCTGCGGTCCCTCCCCCAGGTCCCAACCCACCCCCCACCCCCCACTTCCGGCCGCTCCGGCCTTCTCACCTGCCAGGGTGCGGGAGGGCCTGCCCAGGGGCCTCCAGCGCTTGCGCCCGCCGGCGCCCTCTTTGGGCAGGGGCGGCAGCAGGGGCAGGGCGGGGGCGGGGGCCTCCAGCATGGCCATCCTCACCCAGGCGGCCCTGGCGGGCAGGCTGTGGCCCATGGGCTTCTGGGAGCCCAGCACCCCCTTGCTGCTGAGGGCGAACTTGAGGCAGGAGAAGGCCACGGGCAGGGGCTGCTCCAGCTGCAGGGCGCGGTGCTCGGCCCCCTGGGCCACGGCCAGGCCGAGGCTGCCGCAGTAGAAGACCTCGTAGATGATGTAGAGGCTGCTCTGGCCGCGCAGCCAGGGCAGGTCCGGCCGCAGGGCCACCGCCCCGGGCCGCAGGACCAGGAAGGCCACCTTCTTGTGGACGCCGGCCAGGGTCAGGTGGATGTGCCGCAGGGCCCCGTCCACCAGCCGCGTCTCCTCGTAGCGCGACTCGCCCCGCACCCGGGCGTTGTACTCGCGGGTGCAGTGGGTCAGCTCCCGGGCGGCCGTGGCCCCGTGCAGCAGGTTCTCCAGGGGCCCGACGGGCACCAGGCAGCGCGGCCGGCGCAGGAGGCTCTGCCCCAGCTGGGGCTTCTTGATGAGGACGGTCAGCAGGTCGTAGGAGGCGGCGTCTTCCAGGAAGGGGACGGGCACCACCGTCGGCCCGAAGCGCTCCTCGATCACCTGCCGCGAGAGAGGGGAGGCCGTGGGGGCACCTTCGGCTTGCACGACTGGGCCTGTCTGTGCACGTGACGACAGTGGGCGCGCCAAGAAGCAGCCTGTCCCTGGAAAACCCCGTGGTGCGCTATTGGCCGAACTGCCCTGATGTCACCGAATGGCTGCAGCCACAGTGACCCAGGCTGGGGGGGGGAAGGGGGGGGGGAGACTTAAAGGGGGGGAGGGGAGGGGGAGCCCCGTCAGGATGGTGGTGCTTGTCTCACCCCACGGAGGGAAGAGAGCGGTGGGATGGGCCTCAAACCTCTCCTCGGACCAGGCCGGAGCGCAGCGGATCTGCCCTTGCACAATGGGGCTAGTTCTTGTGAGGGATGGGTGGTGGTTTTTTAAAAGCCATTTTGGTGTCATGGTTAAGGGTGCGGACTCTAATCTGGGAGAACGGGGTTTGATTCCCCACTCCTCCACTTCCACCTGCTGGATGACCTTGGGCAGGCCATAGTTCTGACAAGAGCTGTCCTTGAAAAAGAGCCGTTTCTGTCAAGGGCTCTCTCAGCCCCGCCTCCCTCACAGGGTGTCTGTCTGTTGTGGGGAGGGGAAGGGAAAGGAGTTTGCAAGCCCCTCTGAGACTCCCTTGGGTAGTGAAGGGCGGGGGATACATCCAATCTCTTCTTCTTCTAATCTGGGAGAACGGGGTTTGATTCCCCACTCCTCCTCCACTTGCACCTGGCTGGATGACCTTGGGCAAGCCGTAGTTCTGGCATTTCTGTCAAGAGCTCTCTCAGCCCCACCCGCCTCCCAGGGTGTCTGTTGTGGGGAGGGGGAGGGAAAGGAGTTTGTGAGCCGCTCTGGGACTCCTGGGTAGTGAAGGGCAAGGGGTATAAATCCAATCTCCTCCTCCTCTTCTAAGCGCAGAGCTTAGAATTAAAGTCTACCCAAAGACTATTTCCCTTGGGAAGCCGAAATGGCCTTGGGGCAAGGGATGCTCTGTCTTCTTGGTGCTTGGGGGGGGGGCAACAGTGGGAGGACTTCTGGTGTCCTGGCCCCACTGCTGGACCTCCTGGTGGCCCCTGGTGTCTTTGGCCACTGTGTGACACAGAGTGTTGGATGCTGGCTTCTCTTTATGTTCCCGTGAGCTTCCCTTCATCGGGGCCTTGTCTGTTCTCCAGGCAGAGGTGCAATGTAAGGTCGAGGGCGGGGGGAGAGAAAGGGAGCCCCGTGCCTCTGGCTCCCAGGCCTCTCTGTCCCCGCCCCCCCCGGGGGGGGGGGCTCGGGCTCGGCCTGCCCGGCCTAGCGTTCAGCCAGAGGCTGGCCCACAGCCCTGAAGAGTGACTCTTCGCTTGCCTCCTTCTGGAGGGACCAGGCCGGGGCTTGCCTTGGAGGCACGCCCAGGCTGGCACTCCAGACAACGAGGAGGGGAGCCCCGCTGCCTCTGTGAGCCAGTCAGGGCCGAGGAAAGCGGGAGGAAGAGAACCGCCAGCTGGCTGGGAATCAGCAGGAGGACCGTCATAAGAACAGAAGGGGAGCCATGCTGGATCAGGCGCCAGTGGCCCACCCAGTCCCAACACTCTGTGTCACACAGGGGCCAAAACCCAGGGGCCCTCAGGAGGTCTACCGGCGGGGCCATGACTCCAGAAGCCCCCCAAGCACTAAGAATACAGAACACCCCTTGCCCCAGGCAGAGTGTTCCACCTGTACCTTGTGGCCTCTGCTCCAGATGTTTATCCCATTCGCTATTGAAGCGGTCTATGCCCATATCCGCCACTGCTTTCTGTGGCAGTGAATTCCCTGGGTTAATTACTCTTTGAGTGAAGAAGGACTTTCTCTGAGCTGTTCTAAGTCTACTGCTCATTAATTTCATGGAGTGCCCCACAAGGAGTTCTTGTATTGTGGGGAAGGGAGAACAGGACTTCCTTCTCTACCTTCTTTATATTGTCCTGGTTTTCCAGCCTGTTGGGAATAGATCTAAGTTATTTATCTGATTAAACAATGTGACCAATATGGGGATCCACCACCTAGGAAAGGGTTTTTTTAAATTAAATCGGGAGGTATTAAATCCTCCCCAGGTGATTTTTCGGAGGCTAAAGTTGAAATAAGAGTTTCAACTTCAGGCTCCGTCACCGAAGGCCATTCTGGTAACAGTTCCCTTTCTGTAAGAGCAGCTCTTGCCTCTATTCCAGCTGACTTCCAATGTAAGAGTGGTGGCTTCATAAACTTTAGTGGAGTCCTCAAACCAGTGTGAGCCTTAAGGCAATGCCCACCATTGTCCTCTTCCCCACAGAGGGTCCAAGCAGTGTAAAGCGAATAATCTCATTTCTTGTTTTATTTCTTTAGAAGGAAGTTTGCTAATGACAAAAGAAATCCCTGCACTTTGAGCTCCAGCTCAGATTTGCATCGGGGATGCAGCTAAGCTTCTTCTCTTTTCTATATTCCTTGCCGCCCCCCCCCAACTACTTTATCAAGAGAGTGGGGGGGGGCAATTCTGTTTTCTCCAGATGCAGTGTACCATAACAGGCTGTGATCAATCACATTAAAAGCTATAGCCAGGATAATAAAATTGTACCTGCCAGCTGCTTTATGTATAAGATCATGCCAAGCAAATTACAGAATGCTTATCAAGAGGCTACGCAGGATAGTCTAGGAGAAAAACTAATCTGTCATTCATAAAGCAGATTCATGGAGCTGTCTGTGTCGTTTACAGTTAAAGCGCTCCAGTGCCACTAGGTGAAATGGGCACAAGCCCTAAAATGCAACGAGGGTGGGCAACTGGCCCAGAAGCATTAAGCAGCTTTGAAAGGGGTGTGAATACATACATTCTTGCAGAAGAGGTCTGTCAATGGCTATGTAGCATGATAGCTAAATGAAACCTCCTTGTTCAGAGGCATTCTACCTCTGAATACCAAGTGCTGGGGAAGGGCAACAACCAAGGAAGCTTTTGACTTCATGCCCGGATAGTAGGCTTTGTGGAAACATCTGGTTGGTCACTTTGAAGAGCAGGGATATGGTCTAGGAGGACCTTTTGGTCTCCACCATAAGAGTTTTTCGTATGTTCTTGTTTTTAGGGCTGGCTGATGCAGCCAAAAGGTGGCTACTAAACTTAATATTTTATTCATGTGCAGTTTTATGGTATAATTTTTCTTTTTTCTTTGGTAAACAAAAGTTTTATTATTTTCCAATCGTAGGTATTCAACATTTATCCATTAAAACTTTAAAAGGAAAAGTACATAAACGATTACTTACCTGGAAGCCACTGTCATGCCATCCCTGAGTCGCCGTTTCTCCCCATCTAAAGAGCCCTCGCCCCTTTCACCTTTCTTCATATAAAAGGGGTCCCATCCCCTTTATCATTCTACTTGCCCTTTTCTGCACCTTCTCCAATGCTATAATCCCCTTTTTGAGGTGTGACCAGAATTGTACACAGTATGCCAAGTGAGGCCGCACCAGCGATTTATACAGAGGCATTATGATACCGGATGATTTGTTTTCAGTCCCCTTCCTAATCATCCCCAGCATGGCATTTGCCTTTTTAAATTGCAGTTGCACATGGAGACAACATCTTCGGTGAGTTCTGTCTCCCACAGCTCCCTCTCCTGGTCAGTCTCTGCCAGTTTGGACCCCATCAATGTGCATTTATAGTTGGGGTTACTTTGCACTCGCCCACAATGAACCTCATTTGGCACCCTGACGTCCACCTGTCCGGCCTCAATAGATCCCTCTGGAGTGCCTCACAGCCCTGCCTGGTTCTCATGGCCCTGAACAACTTCGTGTCATCTGCAAACTTAGCCACTTCACTTTTGTTGTTGTTCAGTCGCACAGTCGAGTCCGACTCTTCGCAACCCCATGGACAAGATCACGCCAGGCCCTCCTGTTTTCCGCCGTTCTCTGAAGTTTGCTCAACTTCATGTTCGTTGCATCTGTGACACTGTCTAACCATCTCATCCTTCGCCGTCCCCGTCTTCTTTGACCTTCAGTCTTTCCCAGCATCCGGGTCTTCTTCTCCAGTGAGTGCTCCCTTCTCATTGGGTGGCCAAAGTATTTGTGCTTCAGTTTCATTATCTGGCCTTCCAGGGAACAGTCAGGGTTGATTTCTTTTAGGATTGACTGATTTGATCTTCTTGCAGTCCAAGAGTCTTCTCCAGCAGCATAGTTCAAAAGAATCTATTCTTCGGCGCTCGGCCTTCCTTACAGTCCAACTCTCGCAGCCATACATGACTACTGGGAATACCGTTGCTTTGACCATGCGGACTTTTATTGGCCACTTCACTGCTTACTCCCAGCTCCCAAGTCATGAAGAAGCAGGCGAAAAAAGCACCGGACCCGGTACCGAGCCCTGCAGTACCCCACTGCTTACCCCTGTCCACCGTGAGAACTGCCCATTTAAGCTCACTCTCTGTTTCCTGCAAAATAACCAGTTTGTAATCCACCGGAGGACTTGTCCTCTTATCCCATGGCTGTGGAGTTTGCTTCGGAGCCTTTGATGAGGACCTTTATCCAAAGCTTTCTGGAGGTCCAGGGAAACAACACCTATTGGGTCCCCCTTGCCCTCTGTGCTTGTTCACCCCCTCAATGAAGTCTCGTCTCTGGTCAACCTGACCAAACGCACCAGGCGCACAAGAGGAGAGAAACCTTTGCACACACCCACCCACCCCTGGCTAAATACAGCCCTTTGGGTCTGGCCTCCAAGCCCTGACCAGGCAGAAGGCAGCTTTGGCTGGCGCCGGGTCTCAGCCGCCAGCACTGTTCCCTGGCAGAATTGGGCCCACGCTCTTCCGCATCCCTTGTTCCCGGGATGCGTGCACCATTTCCCGGCTCCCTTTTTGCACAGAGCAGGTGGTGTGGCATTCTGGAGTCCAGGAGATGACTAAGCACCCCCTCCCTCCCTCCCTGAGAGCGGAGTGGCACTAAACTGGTTTTGTTCCTGGCGCCCCTCCCAGGGGTGGTGGGTCTGATGAAGGGTGTGTGGGTAGGTGGGTGGGGGGTTGATGGCACTGCCCCTCACCTTGTCCCTGATGAGCTCCCAGCTGGCATCAGCCTCCCCAAGCGCCAGGGTCTGGGTCCCACCGTCCATCTTGCGCACGGGTGGGTGGACAAGTCGAGTGGGGCCCGGGAGTGGGGAGGGCGGGAGGGCAGCCAAGCACTGGGGAGGGAGAGAGAGGGGGGCCTCCCCCAGACCCACGGGCCCAGGCTGTGATGTCACAAAGCCCTCCCCTGCCTCCATCACCCCAGAGGGACCAGCAGGTGGGGCAGTGGGGCGAGCCGGGCAGCCAGCCCGGGCAGCTCTGCCTCCTCCACGGGCTCCACGCCACCCCCGCCGCGGGAGGCCCTCTCTATGTGGTGGGAACCGGCGGCTGCAGGAGCTGGTGGTGGGCCCCCACCCCTGGGCGGCTGCTTCCCCTGCTGCGGGGCAAGGCCTACTTTGACGTTGCCGTGGGCACGGGTGGTCGCATGGCCCTGAGCAACTCCTCCGGGCGTTGCGTGGAGTTGTACAGTGCCAGGGGCCTTCTTCTGCACGCCGTGAGTGAGGGCTTCGGGAGCCCCCGGGGGCACTGCCTCAAGCCCCCGAGAGGAGTTCCTGGTGGCTGACATGCGCCTTGGGGTCGTGCACGTCCTGCTGGCCGGCTTGGGAATTTGCAAAGCACCCCGTTTGGCCCTGGTCGACGGCACTGAAATATTGGTAGAGGAACGAAGAAGAGGAGATTGAATTGATACCCCATGGCCCTTCACTACCCAAAGGAGTCTCAGAGCGACTCACAAACTCCTTTCCCTCCCCCTCCCCACAACAGACAGACACCCTGTGAGGTGGGTGGGGCCGAGAGAGCTTTGACAGAAACTGCTCTTTCTCAAGGACAGCTCTTGCCAGAACCACGGCTGAACTATGGCCCAAGGTCATCCAGCAGCTGCGAGTAGAAGAGTGGGGAATCGAACCCGGTTTTCCCAGATTAGAGTCCGCGCACTTCACCACGACACAGCTTGGAGGGGGGGCCCTTTCTTGTCACAACTGGGTTCCCCCCACCCCATGGCAACATGCAACCACCTCTCATCCTGCTGAGTGGGACCGTGGGGCCTCCTCTGCTGGGTCTCGGTCTCCTGTGGCACCTCCTCCTGATTCTTTTTAGTGGCGACGCGGAACACCGCCTGGGGACTCCGGCATGGAAGCAGGGCGTTCTCCCCCTGAATCGGGACCCCACAAGTCCCAGCTGGCTCCAGGGCTCTTCCAGAGTCCCTCTCAGCCCTCCTGTTGGGCATTTAGCACCTCCCCCCCGCCCCACCCCAGCCAAAGAAACCAATCTGGTGACATGAAGCCTCCTGCTATAGAACCAGACGGGGTCCATCAAGGCCAGCCTTGCCCACTCGGACTGGCAGCAGCTCTCTCTCTCTCCAGGGCCTCCGGCAGAGGAAGACTCTCACAGCACCTTTGGACTGGAGATGCCCCTGGGGACGGAACCGGGGACCTTCTGCGCGCCCGGCAGACACCCTCCTGCTAAGCCACGGCCCTGGCCCCACGGGTCTTCAGGGTCTCGGGCTGAGGCCTTTCACACCACCCGTGGCTTGGTCCCTGAACTGGGGATGTGGACCCGGGACCTTCTGCACGGCAGGCAGGTGCTCTGCCCGAGCCCCACGGCCCTTCCCGTTTCAGGACCAGCCTTTTAGCAAGCGGGCAGGCTCCTGAAGGGTCACGGCCAGGAACCAGTAGAGACAACCGGTGGCCAGTGTCCCCTCTCAACTGGGTTAGTGTGAGCCAGCTCACAGTTCTTTAGCCTCCGGCTCACACCTTTTCGTCTTAGCTCAGGAAGGAGGGCTCCAAGAGCAAACTAATTGATGCAGGAGCCAAAGTAATTCATGCAGTAGCCTCTAAGCTCAGTGAGTGTGAGCCAGCTCACAGTTCTTTAGCCTCCGGCTCACACATTTTTTGCCTTAACTCAGGAAGGAGGGCTCCAGAGCAAACTAATTGATGGACGAGCCAAAGTAATTTATGCAGTAGCCTCTAAACTGAGTGTGAGCTAGCTCACAGTTTTTAAGCCTCCGGCTCACACCTTTTTCTCTCAGCTCATTTATGCAATAGCCAAATCGCTCGCTCACCATTTTAAGGCCAGCAGCTCACAAAAGTAGGATTTTTGCTCACACGACTCCACCGCTGAGAGGGAGCATTAGTCAGGAGGCCCCCCTGGGACTGAGCGCAGGGCCCCAATCCCAGCCACAGTGATTGGGTGGAGGGAGGGAGTTCATCCCTGACAGGTGAGCCTGCACCGGGGTGGTGGTGGTGGTGGAGATGCTGGCTAGACACAAGGTGTCCCC